AGAATGATTTATATTCAATTTTATTTGGCAAATAAATTCATCATTTATGTCATATTATGCACAAGACTAGGTATATGATTATATCATGACATATCATAGGATACCAATTGGATACATGGGTAAGTCACTGGATAACTATAAGGACATTATAAGAGTACTTAAGAATAACTAAGAGAATGTACATGAGATAATTAATTTAGAATAAGATCTCCATGTAAAGAGCTACACAAGATACAAACTTCAAAACAGATATACATATAATTATGAATTATAATTGGTTTATGACTTCACTGTGGAATGAAGAGTGAGTTTTGTAGGAATACGGTCCAAGCAAAACATAATTGCACAATCTACTAAATGAAAATACACAGCTACTTCAGAATTTGAAATCAAATGTGATTGGATGAACATGATCATTAAGAAAAACTAGGATGAATTCTTTCATTCTGGGATAACCTAGAAATCTTTTGTGACTTATGGAGTATACTTAATCAAGATAATGAACTCTACATCACATTAGAACACCAATCATATTCTTCAAGATATTTAACTATACTTAGAGTAAAATCAAATATGGAGATGATATCATTCGCAGAATTCACACAAATTAAATTTATTCAAATATATTAATAAAGTACTTCATTTAAACTAAGAATGAGTGGTCACACTTCAACTATAGGACTTCATTATGCTAGAAATGGCATTTTAATTTGAATTTAGTATTTGGATTTTGGAAAATTTAACAAACAACTATTATATTATTTTGATATATTGGGATATGATCATCACATTAATACTTAGTGTGTTCTATATTAACATGTTTAATCCATGAATAATTTGATTATACCAAAAGTTCGTAGTTGGTTATAATTGCAGGAGAAATTATGAAGTAACACTAATATGAATTGGATTGGTTGTCTCTCACCAGATGAAAGTACGCAAGCTGTTGTAACCAAGTTTCATAGGTACTCGTCATAGAACTTGTACCGAATGGACCCATATCAATATCATCTCATGGATCGATTTGGTGAGTCTCACTTGATTAAAAGGTACTATCTTTGTATCCTTAACACCTCATATACGTATTGTATGGAGTGTGGACCTTAGATATAGTCAAAAGATGATCCTTAAACGGGAAGTTGTAAAATCCATTTTCATGTATGTTGTGAACTGTGCAAGGGGATTATGTAGTCAAGATGGTATTTTTTCCTCTTCTGTGTTGGGAGTTAGGCATCAATTGTGATACCCTAAGTTGAACACCAAATGAGATTGATTACGAACCAAGTATCATGTTCAACATGATGTATGTAACAAAAGGATAATTGATAAACTTACCTTATACATCAATTGAAGCTTTAAGCTTTTGGGAAATGGATTTTGATGAATGAAATTCTTTATTGTATGTTATTCAGGGAAGTGAAATGTTGCTAGACATCCACCACTATCTATATAAATCTATGACGAGTCTTGTGTAAATGTGAGATTCAAAGATCTTGTATGCCTAAGAGTCATTATAGAATGACAGTGCTAATAACATATGATCCTATAGGGTCACACCTTATAGAAAAGTTACCATTTATTGATTATTTATTAGTATAATTTTCATTATTAATAAATATCAACACTTGTATTTAACTAGAATGTAACACCCTGTTACGAGTCGTCCCGTAGTTCGGGGCCGTGACCTAAAGATCAATTATGATAAGGCTTCGGGCCTTGGGGAATGAGAGGTTTAGACCTATCTGGATGTGGGTAATGTAGATTATGTGATCCAAGAGTTTGGTTTGTGCTTTGGAGCCCAAGAGTATAATCGGAAAAGTGGTGTTTTAGACTTCTTTTATGAATTAAGGATTTTAGTTCGATTTGTTTTAAGTTAAAAATAATTCGATAAGGTTGTAGAGCTCCTCAATACCTTCCGGTGGATATATATATCATCGAAATCGGAGTTGAAACGAGAAGTTATGACCGTTTGAAGTGTTAGGGCGCAAAGTTATTCATGGAGTGACTTTGTAATGGTTTGACTTGAAGACCCACTTGCATATGGGATTGATGCCTTATGACAGGAGAGTGAGAGAGAGAGAGACATGTTAGCACCTCTATATGTAGTGGATTTCATACCACTTATAGAGCGTGCTTGAGAGATGTAGTTCATAGAGAGCTTTGAGTGAGTTAATTATGTAGACTAGATCTAGTTCCTTTTTGTAATCTCCTCATAATGATCGAATACATCTTTTAGCACCCACATCACCATGTTATTTGTGTTCTTACAATTCCGCATGCCAAATCAAATGCTCATAATTCACTACATTTCGTATCAGAGCAGGTCTTCGAAGATCAAAGCAAATTTTGAAGAAATGGTTCTCGATTTGGCTACATTCAACACAATTGGAACGTTTATGGTGAGTCTCTCGATGATCTCTCAAAATCTCTTTAAACCGTGCTTGCATTATTGAATTTTTGATCATTTTGACGCACTGGATCAATTTTTTTTCAAAACCCAATTGTTATGATCCAATAAAAATTTTCATTGATCAAGCCCAATCTGATCCTATTTTCTTATGTTTGATTCAATTCTCAATTTGCGAATGTTCATTTGAATCAAAATCTAGCTCATAATGAATTAAATCATGCATTTGTTATTGTTCCTACTGTTAAATCGATCTAGTTGTTTGAAGAGACTAATCCAAATCCTTGATCTAAACAAATTAAGCCCAATCACGTATGTGTTACTGTTCATGGTCTATATTTTAAGCCCATAATTTTTTGATCCGGTATGTGTTACTGTTCATGGTCTATATTTTAAGCCCATAATTTTTTGATCCGACATAATCATATTTGAGCCCAAAATTCATTCAATCCATTGTTTGTTCTTTAATAAGGTTGATTCGTCGCTTACACGTTTACACACTCTGATGTTCGTTTCTCGTTCCTATATTTAGATCGTAATTTTTGCTCTCGTTTCAACCTCAACTGATAATTGAATAATTTTGGTTGTGAATCTGGTTTTGTGAACCGATTTGCTTATAATATTGTTTGATTGTGATTCGATTATGATCAAGTTGAAACTTAGAGTTTTTAATCAATATTTTGATTTTAAAGAATTTGATGAAGATCTATTGAATATGATGAAGAACAGTTGTATATTCTCTGTTTGATCTGAAAATCGATGTTAGATTCATGAATTTTGTGTTTGTTGACTATTAAAATCGAAAAGTCAAACATAAAAAGTCAAAATCAGATTCTCAAACGTTGATTAAATGTATTGAATGTTGAAATCGGTTAATAGAAGTCGAACAAGGGTTGTTTGGTGTCGAAATTGTATTTGATTGGAGTCTAATTTCGAAATGGATTGGGTTAGAGTTCTTGGTGTCGAACACTGTGACTTGAGTTCTTGTTCCCATATTGAAATTGAATTGGAAATCGAATGTTTTGTGGTTAATATTGATTTCGAATGATGGAGACTTGGAGTCGAGAGGAGTTGATTTCGACGTGTAGTATCAAATTCAATTTGGATTTGGTTCTTGGATTCGAACGAGTCTTGACTTGTTTTGATCGCTCGCATCAAAAATTAATATTGCTCCGGGTCGAAAGGTTGAATTCAAACTTAATTTCGACATGTGGTTAAAGAAAGCTGTTTGATATGTGATTTGAAATTTCGACTGATGATGCTTTGAAGCCATAGAGTCGAATGGAAAATATTTGGAGTCAAGATATGTTGCTTGAGTTTATTGGTTTCAAAATAAGTTTTGACTTGTAGTGTTGAAAACAACTTGGAATCGAAACACCCTGTGTGGAATTGAAATCGAAAGCAGATGGATTAGGATGAATGGGTTTCGCATCGAATGCTTATACTTGAGTCAAAATTGGTTTTGATGTGTGCCGAAAATTTCGATATGTGATAGTCGCGTTTGGATTGAGTTCGCATGTTAGGTCGTGTTTTTGGTTGATGATCGAATTGGCTTCACTTTGGGTTGGTTAATTTGGAGGTCGAATGCTTTTGACGTCAACGCAATTTCGACTTATGGTCAAGCGAATCTGTCGATTTGTGAGAGTGATTTCGATGTGTGATGCTCGTCGTTCGGATATATGGATAACAATTTCGACATAAGGTCAATAAAGTTGTTCGATCTGTGGATTGCGTGTTCGACTTGTGAAGGTCCTTTGATTATGCATCTCGAAAGCGAAGTGGAGAAGAAAGAGTATATATCGATTTAAATCCCTACACTTTCAGCGAATTGGTAATTTTAATCCACTTTCGACATGGGGGTCATAAATTGTAAAGAATGTTGAATTTTCATTTCGAATGCTTGCAATTTATGCAAGTTTGCAGAAATTACACAGTTTCGACATTGGGCTAAAATTATGTGAAATGAAAGAATTTTCGAATCTGGTCCCTACAGTTGATACGAATCGACACTTTATGCCTAGTTTCGCATTTGGGGTAAAGTTTCGCATTTGAGGCTATTTTGGGCGCAACAGGTCCCTGCATATTTTTGAAATTGACAGTTTCTACCCGGTTTTTCGAATTTTAAGTCAAAAACGGTCCGAGATGTATAAAATTCGAAAATTGTGATATTTTTGGATTTTTCAAATTTCAGCAAAATGTTTATGCAATGTGTGAAGAGGGAGTTTTGTATGGAAAATTACGAATTGAGTGCTTTCTTATTCCTTTTCGGAATTATAATCATTTTTCGATTATAAAAAGGGGGAGATAATTAAATATGAGAATTCAAAAGTTGTGAATTTTTCATATTACGCAAGGTTGTCAAGATCGGGATCCTACGTAGTATCGTTTTTGGGTTTGCAAGATCGGGATCGGGATCCTAAGATCCCACAAAAAAAACATAATTTTAAAGGAAAAATATCTCCAACATCAAGTTTTCCATTCTAAAGCTATAAAAAGTTCAAAACATTAGTCACAACCTAAGTACCATTTAATCTAGTCTAAGATAACAAAAAGTACTACATCCAGATCATCATCCTCCCTAAAGTTCAAAATATTAGTCACAACACAAATACCATTTAATCTTGTCTAACATAACAAATTGTGCATCCAAATCATCTTCCTCTTCTAAATCCAAAATATCTTGTCCTAAATCTCTTCGATCATCCGCACCTGCAGTTAAATGTAAACATGACATATTAAACTAAAAGTAAAAACTATCATTTCTAGTTTTAAAATAATATAATAAAAGAATAACTCACGCAATTGATCTCTTATAGCCCTTTCAAGAAAATCATCATCATCATTTACATCATGATTAGAAGACGGTTCTTCAGTAATCCACTCATCGTCAAAACTAACATCATCAAGATTTAATGTCTCAAGTCCATCATGCCCTTTTCCTTTATTTTCATCTCTTCCATTCAGCTTCAAGTTGTACATAACATACACAAGATCATTCATCTTTTGTTGTTGTAGTCGATTTCTTTTCTTAGAATGTACCTATATACGACATAAAGAAAACCCAAAAAATTAGATAATGATATAATAAAAGTAACATTAAAACATAATGTCGTTACTTGTTACTCATAAGTTACCATCTCAAAGGCACTCCAATTCCTCTCACAACCGGATGAAGAACATGTCAAGCTCAAAATTCTCAATGCAAAATTTTTCAACTCGAGCGTGTCATCTCCATAGGAATCCCACCAATCAACAGGTGATTTTTCTTTCCTTGTTAGCTTAGCTACATTAAGACCAAAGAGACCTCTTGCATTCGTGAATTGATCAAACTGACAATCAATCGTCTTCGCTAGGTTCTCATCAGCACCACATATTCGTTCTAGGCACATGTACAATCCACTTTTGATCCAACCATTATTCTCAAAATCATCGCTATATTGCATCTGTGGGTTCAAGTAATAACCCGCCACATGTTGTGCCCTATTCATCTGATTATACCATCTATCATCAATGATATCATAAAAAGGTCCATACCTGAAAATATATGTAAAATATATGAGTTGTTGGTTTAAAATTAATTCCAAAAAATATAAACAAATAAGCAAAAAAAATTACCTTGTTTGGATATCTTTGAAGTTTGCTTTAATTTCCTTCTTTGCATTTACAATGGCTTGGTAAATGAAACCCATAGCTGGTTTAGAATCTGAATCAACCAATCGAAGAACCTTCATTAAGGGTTTCACGGCCCTAAGGCATGTGATAACTGATGACCAAAATCCTGCAGTATCCATAACTATATCCTCAACATCTTTTCCGGTATCAGTCCTTGCATAGTTAGTAGACAACCATTTTTTAGATGCAAAAAATGAGATCAATGCACTTTTCAGCTCAAACAAGCGACCAAGTGTAAGATAAGATGTGGCAAATCTAGTTGCTCCAGGCCTAAGGAGCTCTTTCCCTTTTGTAAACTCTTTAAACAAGCAAATTAGTCGTGACCTATAATAAATTAAACTTGTTATAACTTATAACTTATAATTAATAAAATAACTTATATAAAAAATAAATAAGTTAAGAACCAATTGTCACCTATTATAGATGAAACTTGTTATCTTTCTTCCCTTTGTAATTGTCACCTTATGTTCTTCAATCTTTTTCTCAAAATCCTCCAACATTAGATCTATACAATGAGCTGCACATGGTGTCCAAAACAGCTTCTTTCTCTTTTGCATCAACATCTCCCCAGCAGCCTTATAGTTAGCAGCATTATCCGTGACCACCTGAACCACATTTTCTCCACCTATTTTTTCAACAAAGTCATCTAACATTGCAAATACTTTCTCCTTCGTCCTGATAATGTCAGATGTGTCGATTGATGCTAAAAATATAGTTCCTTTAGGACTATTTACAAGAAAATTACATATTGACCGGTTTTTTCGATCACTCCATCCATCACTCATAAGTGTGCAACCGGTCTTCTTCCACTCCTTTTTGTAAGATTCCATTAATGATTTGGTGTAATCAACTTCATTTTTCAACATTGTGACCCGTATTTCATGGTAAGAAGGAGGATTAAGGCCTCTCCCAAATTCACCAACCATTTCAATCATTTTTCGAAACTCGGGATTTTTTACACAGTTAAAAGGGATGACACTTGTGTAGAAAAACCTTGCAATTTGTTGGGAAACTCTTTCACGTTCTTCCTTCTTGAAAATAGAATTCATTGTGCTTTGAACCTTTCCTTTTTTTGTCACATTGTTTTCCAAGTTATTGCCTCTAGCTTGCTTCTCATAGACCTCATCATCTTCACTGGTTGAAAATGCACCTCTCTTTTTCTTTGTTACCATATCATTCTCTTCCAATAATCGACAAAATTCGAGCCTAATATTTTCGGGAACTTTATCACAAGGCGCGACATTATTACGTGTGCGAGCTAAGTGGTGTTTGAATATGAAAATCCCAACAGAGCATACAGAGTTACAAAATTTACACTTGACTTTCCGATCATGCAAATCTAAACCATGCTGCCAACCAGGATCAGTTCTGGCCCCACTAGCATTTTTTCTCATTTTACTAGTTGTTGAAGGTGCAGAAGTAGTTGTTGGAGCTGATCTAGAACTACTCTCCATGATGTCTGAAATAAAAAAAACATAATTGTTATACAAAAATTGAATCAAATTTGGAAAGTTGAAACAAATAATTTAGTAAATGGCTTTATGCTACCGTGACATGAAAGTGAAGAAAAGAAACAGATATCATGTGAAAAAACTGATAATCTTTTTTTGACATATCGAATGGAAAGAGACATTTTTTGGTTATAAAGTAAATGACTAATTACTTCTTTTTTTGAAGAACACTTGTCATGAAGCAAGTTCCATGCAAACAAAGAAATGTATCAAGTCATGAAGCTAGTTGTAAGGTACAAGTCATGAAGCACTAAACCCATGTGGGTATAAATAAATGTATCAAGCACATGCAAACAAAGAAACGAACCTACCAAAACTACTTCTCCTTTACTCTTGACCAATTATAATCCCATCTATCTTCTAACACATGCATACATTTGGTTAAGTTATCTCAATGCATACCATACTAAAAATTCTAGCTATATACCGCTGTATTGGGCCTACAATAATCAATGTACAAGGGTAAATATGTCATTACACACCTAACCATCAATAAAAAGACAATCACTTTACATGGGTGGATCATGGAGGTATAATTCCATCCTTACATATTTGATATTTAACGATTGTGTTGTTGCTTCTGATAAAACAGATAATGAAATTTAACTACTGTGACATGAAATTGAAGAAAGAAAACGAATATCATGCCTTATGTGACAATTCTTGGAACAAAAAAGGGGAAGAAAGTCGCAAATATCATGCTCTGTTCTCTGTTGTAATAGCTTGTGTCCCACAATCAACTAACTTGTAAAGAATAAGGTAGAATTCCGAGCAATGTACTGACTATGAGTTCGATTTATATTTAAGCAAAATCATATTATCATGTACGATCAAAATCGACAGAAAAGAAGAAATCTCATACCCATAAAGTTTATGTACAAGCAAAATCAGAAGTCACACAATTGTTGAACAGTCGACACAAAATTAGTAACCTTTTGCGTGATCTTTGAGGTCGATTTGTTCAGAGTCGGCGTCAATGATTCATCAGTTCGTCAACAGAAGAAGAAGGGAAAGTGGGAAACGATTCTAGGGTTACAATGTTGCACTTCTCGACTTCTCGTTTCCGTTTGAATGATATCTGATCGTGTAATCGAGAAAGGGGAATAAGCCTAAGCGGTAAAGAGTAAATCCAATTTTCAATGGAGAGTAGGATCGGATCGGATCCCGATCCTCCGATCCCATATGCGATCTTACGATCCCACTACCGATCCTACCTTAAATACGATCCGGATCGTTTTCAATACCTATGATCGTAGGATCGTGCGATCCTACGATCAGGATCGCGATTTTGACAACCTTGATATTACGCAAATTTGAAGACCAATGTGACCTTGAGAAATCGAAGTTTATGAAGTGATTCAATTTGAGATTCTGACATGTGTAACATCCCAAATTTCAAGCCCAAAAATTTCATTTTTAATTAAGTAATTCACAACATAGTTTACCAAAACATTTACCATGCCATGTCATTTGTAGAAAGAAACTTAATAATGTGTCTGAAAATCATATCGTCAAAAGTAAAATAAATCAGAGTACATTCCCAGAAAACTCCATGCGGAAACCATGTGTGTGTGTGATGCGCTGCTACACCGCGACTCCTTCCCCTTAGATGAAGAGGTACCTGAAACCAAAACTAAAACTGTAAGCACAAAGCTTAGTGAGTTCCCCCATCATACCATATACCATACAATCACATAGCATACATACTGCCGGGCAATTCTGGGGCGCCCGTCCTACCCATGTCAAGCAATTCTGGGGTGCTGACCTACCCATGTCGAGCCATTCTGGGGTGCTGACCTACCCATGCCGAGCCATTCTGGGGTGCTGACCTACCCATGTCAGGCTATTCTTCGGTGTCGACCTACTCTCCAGTCATTCAACCGAACACGGGGACTATTTCACCCCCTACCACTAACACATAATATCATATCTCAATCATGCTGTCAGACATATCTGGGGTGTCCGACCTACCCGTTGGTCCTAACGACCGATTCGGGGACTAGTCCCCTCCTACTGATACTAGCTCACATAACAAAGCAACTAGCATACTTCCACACCAAGCAATCTAGCATACTCACATATCCAACAATAACAGACCAGATAAATATCACAAAGATAATCATCCTAACTAACAATCACTAGTGGGCCGACCTTGGTGCCTTAGACCCACTCCTACTGGAAGGTAACTCACCTCGATGTCGTGTAGTGTCTGAACTGTCCTCGGCGTAAAGGTCGGCTCTCCTCGACCCCTCAATCCCTACACGACAACCCTCAAGTCATCAAACAGAACAAACAACCCTAACCAGGGTCAATACTAAAACCAAGCAAGGTCAACATTGGTCAAAGTCAACACCCAGTTGACCTGACTCGCCGATTTAGTCTACCAACTCGTTGAGTCCGTACTCCACTAACCCGATCCAACCCCGATTCCACTCGTCGAGTCTAGCAAGAACTCGACGGGTTCTCCTTCATTCAAAACATCGGGACCATCTTCATCCGACTCGTCGAGTTCCTCCTTGAACTCGGCGAGTTCATCTCCCTCATAAGAATGTGTCCCGTCTACGACTCGCCGAGTTGTATGCAAAACTCGTCGAGTCCATCTTCAAAGATTGGGAGATTGCATTGGACTCGCCGAGCCTGTTCATACACTCGTCGACTCCCATGATTCCCATGTCCCCTTTCGCATCTAAACATCCACGGGACTTCCTCCCTAACAACTGGTCCATCCATAGAAAGGATTTGGTGGTCAATACACCGCGACTCGCCGAGTCCCAAGAACTACTCGTCGAGTCCATCCTTGAGCAATATTGTAACATACACGTTTTGAGACCGTGTTTTATATAAATAATATTATGAAATATTATGTGATATTGAGTATTGAGTTCTAACAGATAGTTTTTAATAGAAATAAGGTAAAACTATGTTTAGAATCACTCATAAACTATTGGAAGTCTTATGAGATTCCAATTAAATGCTAAATAGTGAAATTTAGCGAAAATATAAAATTTGAAATAAGTAAAATTTTATTATTGAAAGTTCTAGATAATCTCGTTCGAAACACGTAGGCGAAAACCTCGTCGAAATCCGAGTTATAACGAAGAAGTTATGACCAATCGAAGATCTGCGATAAAACCGGCACGGTGCCGAATGACGTAAAAAGTTAGTTTTTGATAAACTACTTTTTAGCCTTAGTGATCTAAAAGAAATTCGTAGCATTCGTTAAACCGAGAAGTTTGATAAAAAGAACGTCAAAATCTGACTTCGTATGAGGAAGTTATGATTTTTACAAGTTTCAGTTTAGTAGTAGACAGCTAAAAACTCGAATTTTAGATCGAGTGATTTTTAGCCGACACAACCTAAACGAGAATCGTAGGTCTCGTCATTAGTAGTACAACGGTAAAAAGTCTGATGAAAACAGACGTCGGATGAAGAAGTTATGAATTTTTAACGGATTTACTAGTCTCGGTCTGTTACAAATAATAATATAAAAAATAAAATTAAAATTTTCCGACGAAGTCTAAACCAAAGTTGTAGAGCATAATTTTCTCTACGCGTGCATATAAAGAACGTCAAAAACGGAGTCCGTATGAGAAAGTTATGGATTTTACAAGATTGAGCACATTTTTCGAGAAATTTCGCATGAATAGTGATTACTACATCACCCTCGCTCGGAGTTGGCCACGTGTCCGAAGCTGCTGCGTGGCATGTCCGAGAAGCGACGCGTGTCGCACAGGTGTCCGAAGGGCCACGTGATCCTCGCATGCCACACGTGATCCGACCCTCGTGTTGGCTCCTGATTCGACCAAGGCTCCTGACCCGATCCGAAGCTGTAGACGCGTCACCTGACCAATCCGAGGCTCGCACCTATCCGTCCGAGCCTCGCCCTGCTGCCACCTATTCCGAGCCTCGCAGACACCTGTTCTCTTCCCCTCGCTTCGGATCCGAGGCTCGCACCTATATAAGGGGTGCGAGACCTCTCGGGTAAATGTTAGAATTTTGCTCTTTTTCACCCCTTAGCCTATATTTCTTACATTCCGACTTCCCTGAAGCCCCGGTACTTATTCCAAAGCCCGAAACACGCCCCGAGATTCCCGAGAAACCCGAAAATTTTTTATCTTTTCGGTTTCGAAGCCCAACCCTCGCAGGGCCCGATTTTCAAGAAAACTCCCGGTTTTCAACGAAGAAAGTTATATTTAAAGCCGAAGTACTGCCCAAATTACTATTTTGACCCCCGGTTATTTCACGGTGAGTTTAATATATAGGAACAATTGTATGTTATGTGTTATATGTGCTATGTGCTTTTCCATGTTATCATCTCGAGTTGTTGTTTCCGCTATTTTTATAGCAAGGCTGTACCTCTGACTTGAAGTGTATGACATAAGCATCACATGGGTATTGGTATGAACCGTTGACCATGAAGTGTCTGACATAGGCATCACTTTGGCTTCGGTAGTATGCTAAGATAAGGCTGAAAGCCTAAATATTCTAGCAAAATGATATTCCTGAGCATTTTCTGTGTCATTTGTGCTGAAACTTTATTGATTTTATATCAAGTATGAAATTGTTATGTCTCATTGATTGATATGGAAAGCTTTTTGCATTATGCCCTTGTTGTTCCTTGTTCTTCTTTGATTCTGGCATATTAAAGTATATATATGGCATAACGTTATATTGTATCTATTATTGAACTCACTAAGCGTCACCGCTTACCCCTCTCAATGTTTAACTAATTTGCAGGAGATAAGCTTCCAGTATAGTTATATACTGATGGAAGATTTTTGAATAGTTTGAAACTACTGTATTGATAGAAGATATTCGAATAGTTTGAAACTATTGTATTTTGCACTCCCATATGTATAAAACTATAGAATCCTGGGGAGTTATGTAATATATAACACTTGAAATAGTTGGTTTGTATCCAGTAGTTTGTAACCGCTTTATCA